TCTCTCTCCGCCTTCTTGTCTCCTCTTCCTCCCCTCCTCCTCGTCCTCCTCCGTTCACCTTCTTCTTGTCTCCTCTTCGTCCCCCTCCTTTCATCTTCCTCTTCTTCCTCCTCCTCTCTTCGTCGTCCTCCTCCTCCTCCTCTCTTCGTCCTCCTCCTCCTCGCCCCAATTTCCTACCATGTGTCGGTGCGCTCTCTCTCTATCTCCCCTCCTTCCTCGTCTTTTTTTCTTTTTTTTTTCCCTTGTTATCGCTATACAAAGCCGGCAGGCCCTCCTCCTCAACCTCCTCCTCCTCCGTTCGCGTTCTTCTTGTCTCCTCCTCCTCCCCCTCCTCCTTTCATCCTCTTCTTCTTCCTCCTCCTCCTCCTCTTCCTGCTCATTTGAGAGAAGGTTAACAAAAGTCGTATTTTTTATCACCACTTCAAGACACCCTTCACCACTTCAGGATGCAGCCTGCCTAAACAGGTGGTTTTCAGGGTCTTCGGACCTTTCACCACTTCAGGACACCCTTCACCACTTCAGCGTGCTACCTTCCTAAACAGGTGGTTTCCAGGGTCTTCGGACCTTTCACCACTTTAGGACCATTCAGGATTTTCAGACTGCCCGAAACTCTCACTTCACCACTTCAGGATGCAGCCTGCCTAAACAGGTGGTTTTCAGGGTCTTAGGACCTTTCACCACTTCAGGACCATTAAGGATTTTCAGAATGTCCAAAACTCTCACTTCAGAATTTTCATTCCTGAATTTTCATCTACCCGTTAATCGCTTGTGCCTCGTCCCGATTTCTTGCCATGTGTTGGCACTCTCTCTTTCTCTCTCTCTCTCTCCCCTCCTTCCTCGCTCATTTTTTTTTTTTATCATCATCGCCATACATAGCCGGCAGACCCTCCTCCTCCACCTCCTCCTCCTCCGTTCGCCTTCTTCTTGTCTCGTTCTTCTCCCCCTCCTCCTTTCATCTTTTTCTTCTCCCTCCTCCTCCTCCTCCTCCTCCTCCTCGTCCCGATTTCATGCTACGTGTTAGCGCTCTCTCTCTCTCTCTCTCGCCTCCTTCCTCGTCCATTTTTCTTTTTTTTTCCTCGTCATCGCCATACATAACCGGCAGGCCCTCCTCCTCCTCGTCCTCCTCCGTTCGCCTTCTTCTTGTCTCCTCCTCCTCCCCCTCCTCTCATCGTCTTCACGTGTCGGCGGGATCTCTCTCTCTCTCTCTCTCTCGTCCTCCTTCCTCATATTTTTTCTTTTCTATTTCTCGTCATCGCCATACAAAGTCGGCAGGCCCTCCTCCTCAACCTCCTCCTCCTCCGTTCGCCTCGTTCTTGTCTCCTCCTCCTCCCCCTCCTCCTTTCATCTTCTTCTTCTTCCTCCTCCTCCTCCTCCTCCTCGTCCCGATTTCCTGCCACGTGTCGGCGGGATCTCTCTCTCTCTCTCTCGTCCTTGTTATTTTTTCGTCATCGCCATACAAAAGAGGCACGCCCTCCTCCTCCTCCTCCTCCTTACGTCTTCTTTTTGTCTCCTCCTCCTCCCCCTCCTTTCATCTTCTTCTTCTTCCTCCTCCTCCTCCTCCTCCTCCTCCTCCTCCCCCTCTTCCTCCTCGTCCCGATTTCCTGCCACGTGTCGGCTCTCTCTCT